CTAACTTAGCCACTTGCTCACTGGGTGACCTCATGTGGCTGGGTCTCTTGACCTCAGTTGCTCATCTGAGAAATGAGAATACAGGCAGACCTCGGAGATACTGCGCGTTTGGTTCCACGCCCCCGCCATAAAGTGAGTCACAAGAATTTTTTGGTTTCCCGGTGCATATAAAAGTTATGCTTACACTATACTGTAGTCTGTTAAATGTGCAATAACATTATGTCTAAAAAAAGCAATGTACATACCTTAATTTAAAAATATTTTATTGCTTAAAAAGGCTAACCATCATCTGAGCCCTCAGTAGGTCGTAATCTTTTCGCAGGAGTAACATCAAAGATCGCCAATCACATAACAAATACAATGATAATGAAAAAGTTTGAAATATGGTGAGAATTATCAAAATGTGACATAGAGACACGTAGTGAGCAAATGTTGTTGGAAAAATGGCACCGATAGACTTGCTTGAGGCAGGGTTGCCACAGACCTTCAATTTGTAAAAAAGCAGTATCTGCAAAGTGCAGTAAAACGAGGTGTGCCTGTAATATCAGAGGCTAGAGATCAGGGCTGTGGAGAAGATTAAATGAAGTATAACACGCCAAGTGCTTAGGCCAGAACCTCGCGCATGGTGAACCCTCATAAATGTTACATCCAGCCTTTATTTCCGTGGTGGAGGTCGGGGAGCAATTCCCTCAATGTCACAAGGCCCAGAAAACAGGTCTAGCGAAACCCTTTGAACTCCTCAGAGCACCATGGCTGCACTGAGACAAGGTATTATTATGATTATGAAAGAACAGGTCTTGAATTGCATTCCAGCAGGCAATCATGTGGGAGCAGAACAAAACAGAAAACTGGGATTGTGCGCTAAAGACTCTCCCCCCACCTCGCTATCTGCCGTCTAGCATACGGGAGGAGGGATTCCAGAAGGATATCATGGAGACACAAAGGTCTTAATCCTGCTTTGTCTCTGAAAAGGCAGGCCAGGAGGAGGGTGTGTGGTTGGGTGGGAGGTCTCCTGAGAAGACAGCAGTCTCAATTCCAATGGAAAGAGACCTATAGGCATTTGCTCTCAAAAGCCAATCGAAACATTTACTGAATTCTTATTGTGTTCCAGGTAATGGGCTAAACATTTTAATGGCTCATCTCATTTAAGTCCTCCCAAGGATCCTATAAAGTATTCGAATCCCACAGCACAGAGGCGAACAGGAGGCAGGAGAGGAATAACTCTCCCAGACACAGTCTGCACACACTGAGGATGGCCTGGGAAGGGTTGCTTTCTAACCAAAGATCCCAGTGCTCTGGTGTCTGTACTGGTTAAAGGAATATTAAATGCAGACATGTCATGAATATGACCCTCCCTGTTCAGGTCACGCCCCCTCCTGACCCTTGAGAACCAAAAGGTAAGATGGGGGGCATCTGAAGAGCATTCGTAGCACCTCCCTCATTTTTTAGAGAGACGACAGGATGTGCCCGGGAGCACAGCTGGGACCACAATCCCCATTTTCCTGTCTCCATCCAACCCTCTTCCCCTGAGACAGACTGCCTCTTAGGATAAAATGCAGCAGGAAGCATCAGGCACAGAACCCAGGGAGGCCTGGAGACACGCGTCTCTGGGCTTTGGCGGGGAAGCCTTGGTGTGCCGTGTTAACAAGGAAAAGGGAGCAGGGCCTGGCATGATGGAGACTGGAGCTCCGGAAGGTGGGGTCAACCCCTAACTCCCGTCCCCCGGGTCCTGAGAAGGTGGTCCCAGGAGCTGGAGGCTGCATCAGGGAGCAGGGAGCCCCCGGAGGGCCTGCTATTCACAAAGAGGCTTCAGAAACCCAGGCCGTGCAAGCCCAGCATCGGGTTGGCCTTTCCTTCCTTCCCAAACAGGCCTCGATAGAGGCTTGTACAGACCCCCTGCTGCTATCGGTGCCCCTCCCAGCCCCTCACCACCGGCTTCCATCCAGAGTGGCGCTGATGCTGCCAGGGCACTTCCTGCCAACCCAGATGCAGAAGATCTGGATTCAAGCTCAGGGTCAACCCTCGCTGGCTGTGTGACCTTGAGAACCATCTAACCTCTTCAAGCCTCCACTCTTCATCTGTAAAATGGGCATAACAGGTGAGAACTCACTGAGATCCTATGTGAAAGCACACTTGGAACTGGCATGCGTAGAATCAGTGTCACTTCTTTTGTGTCTACTCATCCCCACAAGAACCCAAAGGTCAGGAGTGGCGACTCAGTGAGGCAGAGGAAGAGGGAGGAAGGTACACGTCTGTTCATCCAGCACTCACTGTCCTAAGGGCCCGGCACCCGGCCAATAGGACACCAGCAGAGAAGATGGATCAGGTACAGACCCTGCCCTCAGGAGCTTAGGGGCCAGGAACCTGTAGCTAAGTCTATAGCAAAGTTCAAATCCTATCCCCACTATCATATATAAAATAGACAACTAATAAGGACCTGCTGTATAGCACAGGGAACTCTACTCAATACTCTGTAATGGCCTATATGGGAAAAGAATCTGAAAAAGAGTGGATATATGTATAACTGATTCACTTTGCTGTACACCTGAAACCAACACAACATTGTAAATCAACTATACTCCAATAAAAATTAAAAAAAAAGAAAACCAACCCCAAAACCAACCCAAATGATATCCCTATTTTTTTTGGTGGCCTGAAAATCTGGTTTCTTATGGGGCAGCTCCACTGTGTCCTATCTGTAAAATGGAGAGAATATTCACATCTTCTCAGAGATGATGTGAAAAGCAAAATCCCACTTGGACAAAGGTCTGAGCACCTGATCCAAAGGACAAGGAGGCTGGGGAGGCCACAGCGCTGGAGCTGCTGAAGTCGTGGCCATCTCCTTGGCTCAAGGAAAGATCTGCCAGGACGCGCTCTAAGGGAGCAGCTGGAGGTATGAGTAACGGAGGAATGGTGGGTGTGAACCCCCATAGGGCCTGGAATGCAGCAGGGAGAATCTTTGGAGCCTGACTGGGGAGAGAGGCCAAATCCCCTGGGATCCTTCAGATGGGCAATGAGATTCAGTGGGAGAAAACAAAAGCCTGGGGAGTGACAGTACAATTACACACAGCACGGAGCAGCCTGGCAAAGGCAGCCCAGGGACCCTTCATCCCGTTAAAGCTGGCAGGTGCACTGAGCTCCCGGGTAAAAGAGCCCCAACGTGTCAGGGAAACTGGGGACCCTGCTCTAATCGATGCCCACATGCCCCACTCCCCGCTCCCCCTTGGGGGGCTCTGCTGCCTTTTAAACAAGGAAGCAGCATCCCTTCCCCTTCTCATCCAACACTGTTTACAGGGAGGCAGGGAAGGCCCAGGGGAGGGCAGGGGAGAAGGGCAGCGAGTCCCTGGGAGGTCCGCAACCGTCCCCAGGATCTCCTACCCAGTCACTCCCTTTCCCAGGCTGCACTGCACCTGAAGTAACAGAAAGAGTGCCAGGTGGGCCGTGAATCCCAGCTCCTGCGCCGCCCGTAGGTTAGCTAGTGTGAGCCATTCTCTCTGCCCCTCTGCCCCTCCATTTCCTGTCTGTGAGATAAGCGTCAAGACTACCTTACAGCGGGAGTCAGAGGATGGCAAGTCAGCAGAACCGTGTCTGTCACCCAGAAGGCACCTCCCCACCCCCCCCCCCCCCCGCCACTCACTCACATCCCAATGGTCCTTCACCCCATCTCCTTCCCCAAACCCTCTCTCCGATCTCCAGCCCTGACCCACTTCTCTCCTCTCCCAACTCACACAGGATTTATTATCCAATTCACAGAATACAGCCCTGGGTTATAAACCATATGAAACATTTGATAGCATATGCTTATGCATATATGCATGTATTACGATAGATAACATGTACTGTAATTATTTCACAGTGTTGGGCAGGGCTCCTATTTCAAACTCCTCGGCTCATCCCTACTGTGTGAGGTAGGGTGCACGGTGCTTGCTGGTGGACTGAACACAGACCGCTGGGGGAAGAGAGAGACTCTGCCTCCTAACAGATCAGGGCAGCAGCACTGCCAGGTGGGGACAGACACCGCGTCACTTGAGGAGCCACTGAAGGAAGTGGGTGCCTGGTCTGAGGAAGAGGGGAAGGGCTGTCATAAGACAGACCTGCTCTTGAGTTGTAGTCAAGGGCTAACCCCAGAAATAATGAGTGGATGGAAGTGTCGCAGGGGGACACACTTAGCTATCATAAGGAGGAAGCTCTGTTGGAACCATCTAAAGAGGCAGCGGGCTGCATCAGGAGGGAGTGAGTCCCCCATTGCTGGAGGTAGTCAAGGAAAGACTGAAGCCCCAGTTGAGCATGGCTGTAGAGGGAACGAAACCAGGGGTCGGAAAGCTGAACTACAAAAATGTTGATGTCTTTCCAGACCAGAGAGTCTTTATGAATCAGAAAAGGATCCTTTTTTTATTCGAGGTAGCGGAAAGCATCTGCAGAAGAGGAAAAGTGGTTTAGTTACATAAAGAAGATTAGAGTT